TTCATCCTCCGCTTTCATCCCTCCGCTGTACACGAGCACACAAAGAGACTCTCTTATCCGCTGTTCGCCACCCTCTCCCTTTTTCCAGCTCCCGTCTTCTTCGTTGCTTCCGTTCAGACCGACTACTCCTGCGCATCCTCGTTGCTCCTTTCTCTTCTCTCGAAAACTTTACCCACTACGCAACACACACACATACTCGTGCAGCCATTGGTTGGATCGTCTAGAGAAGGTAGTACAGATGGTGAATAGTTAACCAGTGACGAATTCGATATTTCCCGTGTTGTAGTATTGGCGTGAAACTTGTCTCTCCCTCTCTCTCTCTCTCTTCCTGCTGCCGCGACGCTCGAATTATTTCTCGAATAGGCGTAGAATCGAATGAACGGCAAGAGAGAAAAAAAAAAAAAATTGCGCACCCTCGTAGCTAGGGAGAAAAGATCCCTCTGGGCAAGCCACGTGCGACCTTGGACAAGTCCACGTCACCCTCTTACGTTGTGCACCCTTCGAAGGGACGCAACCCTGATCATGTGGATCTCCGGGGGTAGTTTCCAACCCTCGTTTATCCTTCTTCCATAAGAATAGGAAGAAAAAGAGGTGTGTGTGGTGCGTGTACCACGCGATAGATTCGAACAGATTCGTGGGTGAAATGCGCGCGACTCGTTCGTTCATCGAACGATTCTTTCGTTTCAACCGGAGAGAATCACGGTTGGCGAATAGACGGGGAGGACGAAGGACGATCGAAAGTAACACGGACCAGAGAGCGTCAATTTTTCCTTTCTCCTTTCTTGCACGTATCCACGTGTCGATTCCTCCGTTCTCGTTCGGTCCCAGTGAAATTGCCGTTTCCGGGTCTCTTCTCTCTCTCCTCCCTCCTCTCTCTCTCTCTCTCTCTCTCTCCCTCTCTTTCTCACTCGCGACCTCTCTCTTTCTCTGACGCGCGCGCCTTTCCTTCCCTTCGAAAACGACGTCAGAGGGTAATGGCGGGAGGTAAAGGCGGTAGGAAGAACGGAGCCAAGACTATATACGAGCGTTCTTGCGAGTGGTAGGGCGAAGGGGAACAGGTGAGAGGCCGAGAGAGCCTGGTTCTCTCGGAAAGGTGAACGGAGAGAAACGAAGAAACGAAGGGCATTCGGAATGCGGTACTGTTATGCCTTACGGTACAGACGGAACGGAAATTAGGACTGCTCCGACTCGTTGACCACTGCTCGTTATTCTCTTCGTTCGTAGCTCTGCTTCTCCCTCTTCGACATTTTTGCATCGGCACGTATGCTTTCTCTTTGCCTTCGTTCCTTCTGTCTTCGCGAGGAAAGAGAAGAGAGATCGTGGGCAACCGGAGAGAATACAGCTGTCGGAGAGTTTCGCGCCGTTCGTCGATTAACCAATCGATAGAAATCAGGGGGTTTCCCAGTGTCGTCGGTTGCACACCGTCCATATCGGTGTATTATTATAAATCGATATCGCCAACGGTGCACCCGCGTGTACGTGTATAACGCCATACGAGAAGAATCGACGTACGAGAGAGGCGAACGTCATTGAAATCTCTAAAGGACAAGTTAGTGGCTTCCATAGATACGAATCGAACGAACGCGCTCGCATCGTATTATTCCTCTTCTCCTCTCCTATACTCTCCCTCTTCTATCCATCCAAGGCACACTTTGTTTAATGCAACTCGCTCTCGCTCAGTCTCCCATTCTCGATAAAAATAGACGCCACATTCCCCGCTCTCAGACGTTGCAAAGTAATCGATCGGAATACGAATACCTAGCCGATAATTGCAATCACCGAGTTCCCTCTTTTCGTTACGTTTGCATTTCCGAGAGACGACCGCTTTTTAACCGAACGCGCGAAACGGTGTCGGGGGTGGTCTTTACGACGCGATCGTAATTGCTCGTCGCGGTATCAAGGCCGGAAGACGGCGGAGTGTTCGAAATCCGTTTGAGAAAGTATAGACGGTAAAGTGTCGCCGTCGTTCGGTGACAATCGGCGAAGGGATCGGGCCACGGCTGGAAAACAGTGGAAATTACGATATACTACGAGAAAGGAGAAAGAGGGAGTGGAAAAGGAGCGAAAGGTGGTGGCATCGCCGGTAGCGATGCAAATTTTATTAGTGCCGCGTTTTATCGGCCGCACCTCTTCCACGGGGAGGAGAAGAAGAAAAAGGAGAACATGGAAGCGGAGCGAAGGAAACTGTTCTGGAAGATTTCAGAGTGTTCCCCCGGTAGAAACGCCGCGCGCGCGTTTCTGGCTGGAAGACGAGGGAGAGAGAGAGAGAGAGAGAGAAAGAAAGAAAGAAAAAGAGAGAAGGAGAGCGGCGCAGGAGGGGAGAGGCCGTTTCCGCTTACGTTTTCCCGGAGAAAGAGCTGGTTGGTCGTCTCGAGGACGACGGTACGACGAAAGGAAAAAGTCCGAGAAGAGCCGAGGAAGAACGTCGATAACGTTGGAAAAACGTAAAACGCGCACCGAGCAGGAGGAGAAGGAAACGCCGCGTGTAGTATAGGGAGAGGAAGAGAGGAGAAAGAGAGAGGGTAGCTGCTTCCCATCGAGCGAGAGAACGGCGTTCTGTAGCGTGCAGAGAGGAGTGTAGCGGAGCAGAGTAGAGTGGCGAGGCGGAGAGGAGAAAAAGAGAGAAGGGTGGAAGAAAAGGGGCCACGAGAAAATAGCGTCTTCGCCTCCGTGGGGAGGGAATGAGGGAACGAGGGAACGAGTAAATGGAGCCAACGCGCGGAGAAAGAGGGAACGAGAGACGAGGAGGAGAAGCAGGAGGAGGAGGAGGAGGAGGTGGTGGAGGAGGCGGTGGAGGTGGAGGAGGGTCGAGAAAGAAACGATGAAACGACCGAGGGACAAGGAGGTCCCGAGAAAAGAAAAGAACGAGATGGAACGACGAACGATACCGGGGGTAGAAGAAGAGGGGAGCGTTCGCTCGTCTACTCCACGAATGGCAGAGAGACAGACGGGGAAAAAGAAAGAGGATGGGATCCGAGGGAGGCGAGGTGAAATTCGACACAAAAAGCTCGAAGAAAAATTGAGATGAATCGTGGAAGGGAAGATGGGGAAGGGAGGATTCTCTGAAAGGGAGAGACCAACGCACAGTGTCCTTCTCCGAGGCCGCGAAAGAAAGCGTAAACGCGCGCCAACTACCGAGGGATGACCCTCCACCGAGCCGATACACGCGTTCCTTCCCGATTTTAGTCATCTCTCTGCTCTTTCCACGTTCAGTCACTCTTTTCGTTGCGAGATCCTCCGTCGTGTTGCTGCTCTTACTGTCACTGCCACACTACCGTTGCCGTTCCTGCTGGATTATACATACATACACGTGAAACGCGTAAGTGGAAACGAATGTATCTCTCTTTCTCGCGACTGTGTGTCGCGTTTACCGTCTCCAGCCTCGAGCTACCCTCCTTGCCGCTTTCACGGTCAACATTTTCCGTCTCGCGTCCTACGTGAGAGACGTGAACGCGAACTATCGTCGCCCTATCAGTGAAAGTAACGAGAAAATACTCATCGTTGAGAAGATCGCGCGGAAGATCGACCCTCGAGAAAGCGTATCGATCGATTCGATCGGCCGCGATCACGACGCGACGCGACGCGTCGACGCATCGACTAAAACGACGCCACGCTTTCCGAATCGCGCGCCGCGCGCCGCGCGCGGTCTCACTCCGCTTCTTCGAGTCGCGTTACATCCGGTTTTCTCTTAATTCGCTCCGCCGTGTTAATCGTGTTCCTTCTCCTTCGACGGCTACGATTATTTCAAATCTATCGCGCGTACCATTGGCATCTTTCCCGCGAGAGATCGATCGACGGTGATTCGCGAATCAGAACGAACTAGGAAACTCTATCGAACTGCTATCGATTGTACTCGGCCACGTTATCGCTGATTATCTGCTCGTCTTCGAGCTTCGCGTACACCGGTGTAACTCAATTTCGCGATATCTGTGCGCTTATTCGCAACGCGTATATACACGTCCTATCGCGTTATATCTTCAACTTCGGAAACCGCGTGACGGGAGTAGAGGTGAGCGCGTACGAGCCGCGAACACGGTTAACGACGAATGCCAGGTAAAAACCGACAGGTAAATGCACCAGCTGCGCTTACTTGTTGCCGCCGCCGCAACAACCGCCGCGCCGCGTGCGCGCGCGTTACCTGCAACCTCCGTGAAAACAGGCTAGCTTCGGACCTTGGAGACTAAAGCGGTTCCCGATCATCGTCGTCGCTTCCCAATCAGATTCAACGACGTCGATCGTCCACACGATAATCGAGGAGGTGTATGTAGAGAGAGAGAGAGAGAGAGAGAGAGAGAGAGAGAGAGAGAGAGGCGCGAAAGGAAACGAAACGAAACGAAACGGAATGGAACGGAATGGAACGAGTGGAAAGCTTAAAGTTTTCACGTTATCGGCGCACGTCTAAGCAACTGATAAAAGTCCGTGTTCCTACGGATAGATAACGTGGAATGGCCCGTATAAAGAGTCACATAGATAGAGGCAGATAAAGCACGGTCCACGGAACAGGTGAATGTTACGAGACAGACCAACGCCCGAACCCCTTCTTCGTCGCTTTCGCAGTGTCGATTCGCGTTAATTACGTTGTTCTTTTATTTAACGGCGTACCGAACAAGACTCTCTTCGCGCGTTCTTCTTTTTTCTTTCACTTGGTTCGTTTCTCGATCGAATCTCGTCAAGTAATACGTTATACTAGCGCGGTTGTTATCGCGAGCTCACACCTTTCGTCGATCGTCGTCGATCGGTCGTCGATCGTTGCTCGAATCGCGCGAAAGTGTTTCTCGATTTCGCTCCGCTGAAGGAGAGAGAGACCGGTTGTGTGTCGTCCGCTGCCACCTCGACAGTTCCTCGCCTTCCCTCCTTCTCCTTCTCCACGGTCTTTATTTTCCTTCTTCGCTCCAGCCTCCACGCAACCTCCAACCCTTTTACCTATCTCTCTCCTTCTCTCCTCTACCCTCTGCCAGCGCAAACACGATCTACCGAACCGGCCGACCGATTTACCTTTTCGTAGCTGTGCCGGAAAAGAAAACGAATATTTCATGGAGACGGATCGTTATTGGGGCGTGCACTACAGGTACTGTCCCGCTTTGCGGATCGATCTGAAAGAAGGAAGGCTCACACCGTTGCGAGAAACTTACTCGCCTCGTGGCTTCGCGACCAAAGGACGAACCGTGTCCCGCGTGCAAAGAAATAACACGATGGCTTTTAGATGGAAACCTTATAGAGCAGGAAGAGCAGCAGAGACAAACCGAATGATCGTGTTCCCTGGTGTGTTTATGTTACAGCGGCGGCATGGCCGGGCAGCACTACTGCCTGCGCTGGAACAACTACCAATCAAACATGACGTCCGTTTTCCATCAGCTCCTCCAGACGGAATCTTTCGTGGACGTCACCCTGGCCTGCAACGAGGCTTCCTTAAAAGCACACAAGGTAAGACGTTGTATCGCGATATACGCGAATTCGCGATCGCTGTTGTCCCTACTTAAGCTGATCTCCCGTTTTCAACGATCGGTTGCCCCGCCGCGATCTATCGACTAACTATGCTATTCAATGGATGCCGCTTCGCCACTTTTCTTCCTCGATGCGCCGATCTTCTACCCAGCTACTCTTCTTATTGATCGTTCGATACAGCTCCTTCTGTTTGCGCAGGTGGTGTTATCGGCGTGCAGTTCCTACTTTCAAAAGCTTCTGCTCTCGAATCCCTGCAAACATCCGACGATCATTATGCCCCAAGACGTCTGTTTCAATGATCTCAAATTCATCATAGAATTTGTCTACAAAGGAGAGATCGACGTTTCCCAGGCAGAGCTACAGGTAAGAGTCCTGACCTTACTTTTCCTTCCTCTTCTCTTTCTCTCTCTCTCTCTCTCTCTTTCAGACTCTCGCTCTCTCGTTGCATTATTCGTTAAAAAACGTGTCGTCAGCGACTCCCGACTTTTCCGCAGCCTCGATACCCTGATGGTATTCGCGTACTAAGTATTTCGCAAACGAACGAATAGAAATCGGACGAACCGAGATCTAGCGATATCAAGCGCTAACGATACTTGCTTGAACGAGAGCGCAATAACGCGCGATCGCGTCGCGCGTCACGGTCCCTCCTTTCGTCGTCCAGAATGCTCGTGACGGAGCGAAACGGCGAGACGATCGAAACTTTCTCTTTCCCCCGGCATCATTTCTCCTTCCCTGCGAATGCCAAACATCCTTACGAACCTTCTTATCGACGGTGGGAACCGACTCTGTACCCTTTCGACTTTGCCTCTCGTGCATCCCTGCACATCCGTTGGAAGTTAACGCGTGACGTTTCGCGACCTAGAACTCCACCTTACCGATCGAGATTATTCTCTATCCGCTTAGTCTTTCGTTTACCCTCTCTGTACAGCAGCCGTCGGTAACGTAGATTCACCGGATCTTGTAGATGGCGGGATAATGCCGTTTCGTCCTTTCTATTCCCTTTCTCCCAGTTTTCCAATTTCCTTCGGTACACTAGATATAAATAACGGTAACGGTAACGTTCTTGCGACCAAACAAATCGCAGGCACATGTGCCATATTTCTCTTCCTTTTTCACCAAGCTTCGTCCTTCTCTCATTCGTATTACACTAACACGCTTGGATTTCAAAAAAACAAAACAAAAACGTTCATTGACGAAACAAAGGACGAACTAGTAAAGAAAAAAAGTAAACGGTGATCCTCCTTGCACTTATCCTTATATACAATGTATGCATGTCCATAGTTGACCAAACGTTTGAATCGAGCACGTGCCATTAACTGGCACGCTGTGCTTCGAGCATCAGCCAAATTTAAATCGTTCAAGAAAGGTTGATGATTATACATATGGTTTTATATTATCATATATTCTTATGTTATATCGCGTGCGAGAACGAGATAACATCGCACGCTCTGAAAGTAAACAATGTACTTGGACTATCCTGCTCTACTTGCCCTTTATTAGCTATACCAGCTGTACATTCGTTATTTTCCTGTCTCATCTTCAACACGCCGACGATCCTTCGACGCGAAAGAATGTGGCCTCTAGTCCTCCAATGTTTTCGATGGACAGTGCCATTATTATGCTTTCCAGTTTCACGAGATCAATAAGACAGAGTCTTCAACCCCGTCTCGTTAGATTCCATTGTCCGGCAATCGAGCTACTACTACCACTACTACCATCACTACTATGTGTACCAGACCAGTGACACTCAACCGATATCGTCTGAACGATCGATCGATCCTAATTTATGTTCGCGAATATACACCGTTCGTAGGCATACGATTACTTTATCCTTTGACGAAACGAACAGCTCGATTAAAGTTTACGTATGTATGTAATCACATAGAACTTATACCGATCAATATGTGAATATTCGTATAATTTGAGGAACTTGTTGCACGTACGTGAAAGATCACTGGCATATTTGCGAATGGTGCAAAGCAAATGCGCCGGTTGTCTCATTTTTTACATTGCACCGTCTATCATCGCGTTATGCCTCTTACATTCGAGAGAACGTGGTAGCTCGTAAGCGATGCCCCGAGTTTCGTTGTTTTACCATTTTTTATCTCCCTTTTACCCCGCTCCGTGAAGCAAAACGTGTTGGCACGCAACGATGCTCACGCCCCTGATCGGTGCTGTTCGTTCAGAGTTTCGTATCTCGGTGCTGGGATTCACCACGGACATATAATTCAGACCCGCTCAAGAATAACCTTACAAAGATCTCTTTCTCGAATTTTTCTTCTGATTCCTTCCTACTTCTTTCTTCTTCTTCTTCTTCTTTTTTTTTTTTTTTCTTTTGTATCGTGCTCTTTGACACAAACTACTCCGACCAGCTTCTCGATAGCGTAACTTTTTTTAGTGAAATTCGAAGTAAGCGAAAGGAAAAGGTGGAAATGGAACGTAAAATGCGTGCAGCCGGTGCCCGAGAAGCGCTGCTTCGTATTTCATTTTCGGAGAAAAGCTTATGAACATGGGCCGACGCGTGGTTCTTCGACTCGTTGTCCTTGACACGGGAATTAAGACGACAACGTACGAAGAAAACGCATATAGTTCACGTGCATCAAGCCGAATGCACTTGCACGTGTGCGTACATATACATGTATGTACAGACTAGATCGTTGATGGTACAAGATTTCGTCTTAACCAATCACTGTATAGGAAAAGACCAGCATAGCCGTGGATACTCCGTTTTCGAGTATACAATTAACGACAGAATCGAATCGGCTAAAGGAACGCGTGAGCGTTTGGTATACGTATCGCAGGGATAAGGATAGTATTCTCTACTGACCTCGTTCTCGATCGGTATCTCCTTTCTTCGCGCAGTTGGAGAGAAACTCGGGCTACGCGTGGCGAGATCAAAAACGGAGGCACACCAAAGGATCGGTATTGTTCCCCTGGTCGCATTGCCTTGAACTTGACGCGATTTTGCAAAATTTATTCGTACAACGATGAAACGTATCTCCAATTAATTCCCGAATACATGCGGATCGTACGTATTACGTTAAGTAAAAAAGATAATCAATGCGGTAGAATTGGTTGTGGGTGCCTGGGGACATGTTGCAAGGCATGCATATCTATTTCAATCAATCGCAATCGAACATTGGGGACGCTAAGGGAAAGGGTTGCGATCGCGACTACATCGTTGACAAGGAAATCGTTGTGATAATTTTCGTTTGTCTCGAAGCGGCGGGGAAGGGGATCAGACGGGTGGCGGCAGAGCGTACGAAAGTAAGCAACGTACCGTAGGTCGTACAACATAGCGTTCGTGATCGTGATTTCTTTATTCCCTTTGATAGATGCAAACTAGAGGAAATGCGAAGGGAAGAGACGATATCAGAAGAGAAAAGAAGAGAAAAGAAGAGAAGCGGGGAAAGGAGTGGCAGAGTCGAGGGAAGCAGAAGAAGAAGAGCGTGGAAGAGGGAGAAGGTGGAGGAGGAGGAGGGCTAGCGGCAAAGTCGAAGTTGAGGAGAAACAAGAGAATTCGCGCTTCTTCCGTCGACTGTACACACGCGGTTTCTGCAGTGGCGTGCACGCGTACGCACAGTTGCACGTTATTCGCTCGTATGCGTGTGTAGCCGACTCGCGTGTGCGTAGACACGACTGGAGCCGCAGATTCCCTTTGTCCGCCGCGTAAGCACTGCGATTCGCGACTCATGTTCTCTTTCTTTCTCGATCGCTCGTTCTCCGTTTGCCTTCTTCCATCACACTCTATTCCCTTCTGTCTCTCTGTTACGTTACGCTTCGGTCTATCCCTCCTTTTCTGCTTCGGTGTTCGCTCTCCCGAAACCGTACACTCTTCCCTCGACTACGCAACGTCTCGCTCGTGAATCGAGTCGCGTCGCGTCGTGTCTAGCCGAATCGAGTCGAGTCGAGTTGAATTGAATTGAATCGAGTCCAGTCGAATCGAATGGAGTTGAATCGAGTCAGCTCGACACTGGGCTGACCTCGAAGGACCCTCTCCTTCTTTCTTTCTTTCTTTCCTGCCTGGGCCCGTTACAACGATCGTCAATAGTGGGGATAATTCGATCTTTCTCGCGTTCTTCCTCGACACTTTTAACATCGCGCGCTTATTAAACTTACAGTGTTTCAGGTTAGCAACGGTTCTTTACGTTTTCCTCATTCAAATTTCTCCCCGACTCTGCTTCTTCTCTTCACAACCATTTCGTTCGATTTTTATCCGCTATGCATGTCAAATAATCGACGTTATAGGCTTCTGAATAAGACATCGTTCAAAACTAGGAAATATTCGATGAAGAATAATATAATTCGGTCGTCCGTTTGCTAATTCGTTACCAACAATGAAATACCACCTTTGCAAAATGGTATTTTTACCATTCCTTTATGTTGGCAGTGCGTAGTTCCTTATCCGGTACCATTAGAAATATTAATTCGCTCATAGTTGAGTGATGGCGCATGGAAACCAGGTTCCCAACTTTAGGCGTACATCACTGCGACGCCCGTTTCTCTCTCTTTCTCTTGAACCGTGGCATGATGCACGCATATATACAGTCTCGATCGGCAGCGCGTTCACGCGAGTACATAACGACATCTCCGTCAGACTAATAGCAGAGAGGCATGACACTATCCTTTACTGTTCTCTCGCGAACCTTGCATTCGTCTTCGTCTGGCGGTCGCCAAACGCGTTTCAGCTCTTCGTCTTGTGCATTCCGTCTCGTTCGTTTCCGCGCGCACACCGTATTTCTGTTCTCGTTCGGCCTCAGGAAGTCTCCGTTTCTCCCGCGGGAACTGCTCCGGAGTTAGAGCAAGAGGGCTGTTCTCTCGAGCACCGCAGACTTGGTTGCCGGCTCTGCCCGCTCCCCGGCGTCCCCGTCGGTTCGCGTCATCCCTCCCCGGCTGGCGGACGGACCGCGCTGCCTACGTCCCCCTTCTCCTCGCCCGGCTGGCCGGCGCGGCGTGCGCCGCTTTCCACCAGCCGTCCTGCCACCCGCCGGTTTTCAACCCCTTTCCCCGCAGTCAGGGACTGGTCAGGTGCGCTGGCTCGCTCGCTCGCTCCACGCTAACGCTCAATCGCTCTCTGTCCACCGTCGAGCACGCATCCCCCGCGAGTCTCTTCCTCGTTGTACGCGCTCGAGCGCGGTCTGAATCCGTCCTTGTTCGTCGCGTCGGCGAATTTCGCGGCGTTCTCCTCCGCCGCCGCCACCTCCTCCTCCACCTCCTCCACCTCCTCCTCCTCCTCTTCCTCCTCCTCCTCCTCTTCCTCTACCTCCTCCTCCTCCTCCTCCTCGGTTCTGGCTCTGCCTATGCCTCTGCCACTGCCTCTGCCTCTGCCTCCTCCCGCTCTTCGCCGCGTCCTCTTCATCTCC